CCTCCTACCAATATCAATAAGTCATCATGGGATAATGTAATCAAACTATTTGCTATTGATGTAATCCTTAAGGAAAGCACTATATGTGTTCACGATAGAGTGCTGTTAGTTATTTATCATCAGAATTCTTCTATTTGGCACTGACTAAAATGTCATCTGTATTTCTACAGAGTTTTAGGAACTAAAAATCAAATGCAATATTAACTATTAGTATTTTTGAAAGTAGGATAATTAAGAGCAGCCAGTTTAAAAATGATAATAGCTAACATTTATTGAGAACCTACATGAGGAACTGAGGTTTAGCAAAGTTTAGTAACCTGCCTCAGGTTACACAACTGCTAAGCAGATTGTGAATCTAGTGAGACTAATTCCAGCACCCACATATTTAACTATTATGCTCTCAATCTGGCTATACCCACTATCTATCTCTCTACTCCTCCACCCACTCAGGGAAAGAGGTTGAATGGAATATCCTCAGACATAAAAACATTGCAATATACAATGCTCTTGTTATCTGTAATAATAAGAAACTAGAGTTTCTTAGTTAATAATGAAGTGTATTATTAACTATACAGACTCCCCCCAGTAAATTAGTTCATGTGTGTATATAACCTCAGCTTATTACATTGATTACCCTTTCTAAAGGTGATTCAGACTCCAGCTGAATTGTTCACCCTATGAGCTAGTTGAAAATATCAAGCCTAATACTGACTAAACTAAGCTTCTAGGTTACTGTCAATAGCTTTGTTTGATGGAAATAAAATGATGCTCAGTTTTCCTCATGATGTCTTATTGCTGATTTCCTAGTCGTTTACTTTGAATGAATACATGCTCAACAGCATTTTAAATACTCATTGCCTTATTTCTTTAACAACAAGGGCAAAGGCAGAGTTTCATCAGAGTTTGGGGGACTGGGAAACAGCTCTGGTGCATGAACATGAAGAAAAGAATGGAACAAGAGATGCACCTTGAGGTCAGTAATGGGAGGTAGTATATGATTGTGGAAGCAATTATACTGCTGGCTCTTAAAATCTCTATGACATTGGGTTCATTACATTATCTCTCTGGGTATGGCTACTTTGTCTCTGATATAAGAAATGCAGCATGACATGACATGGAAGGGTTTTGGAGTTGGAGTTAGGTTTGAATACTGGCTTTGCCGTTTGTTAGCTGTGTGCCTGGCAAGTTAACCTGAGCATCACCTCCTTCAATTTAAAAATAAGTATAATGCCTACCCTGTGGCAGTGTTTTGAGGATTAAAATCCACATGATAACACAGGTAAAGTGCAAGGGGTAGAGCTCAGTGAAGATTGTTGTCCCTGTCCCTTCAGAAAATGGAGGCAGTTGGGTTCATTTATCTCTGACATATTTTTATGTCATGATATTTGATCATTTTACTTTAAAACTGTATCTTATAGTTCCTTGAATTACTTCAGTTTTGAGAAAAGTAAAAGTAAAATGCATGCGCATATTCTGGACTCACTGGAGAGTTTGCATCCCAAGTGTGGCCATTAAACAGAAATAAAGTATAATACTGGTGTTTGCAATTAAGGCAACAATGAATCTTAGAGCGCAACTATGTTATTATAAGGAATTTCTAAAAGCGCTAATAAAGAAGCACATTTCAGTGGGGTTTGCTGTTATACAATTGAGCACAAATATATAACCAATAGAGCTCTCAAGACAAGGGGAAATATGTTTCCTCCTTATTGGTATATAATAAACATGCTAAGAAGTATAACATTTTATCAAGAAACTTAAAGATATAATTTCTTTCAAAGGACACAAAAGGCAGTATTGAAGGAGGGATCACCCATATGGTAGAAAGTATGGAGCTCAGAAAGATAATAATTTATTATTCAAAAAAACAATAAGGATAATACTTCTTACTTTAGACCAGTGTTATTCCATAGGCTGTGTGCCCAATTGAGTTTCTATCAGCATTAAAAAAGAATAGAAAACATTAAACTGCATGGTACACTGTAAGGGTAATGTCTGGGCACACTTTTGTTATATACACATATGTGTACTGAGTCATGATGAAAAATTTTGTACCGAGGGCTATGGTTAAGAAATTTGAAAACCATTGCTCTGTATGACAGTATCCAGTACAGTATAACAAAATCTGTACCTTGAAAAAAATGAATTTGACATATTTCAGTGCCTCACAAGAGCCACAGCTTAAATTCTGCTGTAAAAAAAATTGTTGAGCTTGTCATTTTCAGGCCATTGTCTTTAAACCATCACTTAACAAAGTGATATACATAAATACTTCTAAAAACAAATGACTTTTTAAGAGACCTGTTTAAGTATGCATAGTAGTATGCAGCACTCCAGTGGGGATATCACAAATTTAGTTTTGAAAATTCACTTACAGAAACCGATAAAATCTCCAGCCTTAATGACCTTAGCATTGTCTCAACACAGATTACCATCCATGTTAAAGATCATTCAATTACGGGATCATTCAGAAACCTTGGTTTCTTGAGGTGAATGTTTAAAAAAAATAGGAAAACCAACTAGCAAAACAAATGTACTCCCAGGTGACAGCACAGAATGACACATTCTAAGCACAAACGAAACAGAGAGTGAAATAATTTGGAGAATCTGACCAAACAGATTAAGGGTGGCAAAAAGGTATGACTACAAATGATGCTTACCTCACATGTTATGCTGAAAAGCTGTTGAAGATGGTTACCAGGTGAGTTATACTGCAAAACTTCACTTGAAATGTTTTGTGATCAAAGTGAATAATCTCAAAATGAAGTATACTTTAAAAACCTATACAGATCATGTAGTATAGAAATCTATACTTGAAAACTATATAATCTTATTAACAAATGTCACCCCAATAAATTTAATACAAAATTAAAACCTGGTAGGTGACTTTCTGAGTCCTTATAGTCTAAATGAAAATTCCTATATGTTTGTGTAATTGATACTGACAAGTATTTGAATACATGTTCAATTTTCCCAAAATTGCAACATTTTATTTTAAAGCAAAGCATTTTCTTCTGATTATAAAGATGCTCTATTTGCTTCTGATATTTTATCATTATGAATTAACTACCATTTTTGTTTAGGTGAGTTAAACTAAGTGGGTGAGTCCAGGATATTCACAATATTTTCGGTAGTTTTACTGAGATAACATTTGCATACCATAAAATTCACCATTGTAAATGTACAAATAGTAATTTTAGTAAATTTAGAGTTGTGTAACCATCACCATAATTGTTTTGGAACATATATACCCCAAAGTTCCCTTAGACCCATTTGTAATTAATCCTGACAAGGCTAGGATCAGGGTGAGGCAAGTGGGGCATTAGTCCCATGCACAAAATTTAAGGGGGTGCAAAAATCTCACTAATCAAGATAAATAGCACTTTAATGCAATATTTAAAAAGCCCAAACTTAATGCAAAACAACTATAACAAACCAAAAGCCAACATTTTAAATAAAAACTGAATCTGACCCCTGAACTTTTTCTATTCAGTCTCGCCTCACCCTAATCCTGGTCCTAATTAGCTTCTCTCTGCTCCCTCCAACTCCCCTGGAAACTACTAATGTACTTTATGCCTCTATAGAGTTGTCTGTTGTGGACAAATGGAATACTACAATGTAAATGGAATTCAACAAATGGGACTCATATAATACATGGTGTTTTGTCTCTGGCCTCTTTCACTTAGCATAATGTTTTCAAAGTTGATCCACATTGTAGTATGTGTCAGTAGTCTATTTTTTTAAATTGCTGAATAATATTCCATTGTATGGATATACCACATTTTGATTATCCATTCATTTTTTGATGGGCATTTGGGTTGTTTCCACTTTTTGGCTATTATGAATAAACCTTCTATGAACACCTGTGTATAGGTTTTTATGTAGATACATGTTTTCGTTTCTGTTAGGTAAATAAGAGTGGAATTGATGTGTCATAGTTTAAATCTATGTAAACTACAAGAAAATGCTGAACCATTTTGTAATTTGGCTGTAGCACTTTGCATTTCATACTATAAATGGATGAGAGCTACAGTCAGTCTATATCTTCACCACCTCTTGTCTTTTTGATTATGGCAATTCTAGAGGATCCTCATTGTGATTTTAATTTGCATTTTCCTAATGACTAATGATGTTGAGCATCTTTGCATATGATTATTAACTATTTGTGTATCTTCTTTGGGAAAAATGTCTACTCAAATGTTTTGTCCACTTTAAATTTGAATTGTTTCTCTTTTTATTGAATAGCAAGATATCTTCATATATTCAGGATATGTCCTTTATGAGATGTACAGTTTGCTAATATTTTCTCCCAGTCTTGACTTGTCTTTTTATTTTCTTAATAATGTCTTTTGAAATGTAAAATTCTGAATTTTGATGAGGTCTAGTTTATCAATTTTTTAAATGCATTGTGTTTTTTGTGTTCTATAAACTCTTTGTCCAATTCAAGGTCACACAGATTTCCTCTTTTTAAAAAAATTTTTTTAATAGTTTTTGTTATAAAGAAAAACTTGGGTAAGACACTAAAATGCATAGTTCTAAGCAGGGTGAGAACAAAATGTAAAAATTAAGGACATTGAAAGTGGAAGGTAAGAGGGTTTTAAAGAAGAGTTCTATCTTCTTTCAAATTTTTGCTAGATCTAATCTCTCTATAAATGAGAAAATGTTTTAACTCAATGAGGAAACTATTTCTGTTTGCTATAACAAAGATTTAGTATTAGCTTTATCTGAATAAAATTAATGAGTTGGCAATGTTGCTTTTATCCAGAGTTCAAATGTTTGCTATAATGTATATGAATATACTATACCATAGAAATGCACGAAAGACATTCAAAGCAACACCAATAACACACTCACTTCATGGACACAAGCAAACAAAAGGGCTTGATGATAATTTGTCATTGGATGGAATGTTCAATGAAGGAAATCTGGACTTGAGATGTACATGAATGGATCATGGCCATAAAATACAAGGAGGTATTGGGTATGACATGGAAACTAACCTTGGAGAAATATCACATCCTTGCTGCATAAAGGCACCCAAGGAAAACCAAAGACTGTTGAATATCCCAAATTCATTTGGAGGATCAGGAGGGCTTTGTGGGTCACGAGGTTCTTCATTGTTGTCTTCCAAGTGCCATTCATAAGGGCTGAATCTGCTGACTAGGAAAAGAACTACACTGACACCAATGTAAGCGAAGACAATGCACATCCAGATTTCATAAGCCAAGGGATCCAGAAATGAGAACACTCCTGGTTTTGATTTCTGAGGCTTCTTTATCATGATGGAGATGCCCAGGCTCATAAATGGCTTTGAGAAATCGATGACTTCTTCACGGACCAGGGTTATAGTGAGTGGAGCAACAGCTATATCAGCCCTCTAGAAAAAAAAATTTAAAAAAGTTTAGAGACAGTATTTTCATCAGTCATTTGCCACTTTAATATACCTGTTTGCTGTAAATATAAAGTCTTATATTATTACTAGAGGCCCAGTGCACAAAAATTTGTGCACTCGGGGGTGGGGGGGCCCTCAGCCCGGCCTATGCCCTCTTGCAGTCTGGGACCCCTCGGAGGATGCCCACCTGCTGGCTTAGGCCCGCTCCCTGGGGGATCGGTCCCAAGCTGGCAGTCAGACATCCCTCTGGCAGCCTGGCAGCCCTCGGGGGATGTCCACTTACCAGTGGGGAGCAGACCTAAGCTGCAGTCGGACATCCTTAGTGCTGCTGAGGAGGCAGGAGAGGTTCCCGCCACCACCGCTGTGCTGGCAGCCATCATCCTGGCTTGTGGCTGAGCAGAGCTCCCCCTTTAGGAGTTCACTGACCACCAGGGGATAGCTCCTGCATTGAGCATCTGCCCCCTGTTGGTCGGTGTGTGCCATAGTGACCAGTCATTCTCAGTTGTTCTGCTGTTAGGGTCAATTTGCATATTACCCTTTTATTATATAGGCTAGAGGCCTGATGCATGGGTGGGGGCCGGTTGGTTTGCCCTGAAGGGTGTCCCAGATCAGAGTGGAGGTCCCGCTGGGGTGCCTGGCCAGCCTGGGTGAGGGGCTGATGGCTGTTTGTAGCTGGTCACACCCCCTTCAGGGTGGGGGTCCCCACTGGGGGGCCTGGCCAGCCTGGGTGAGGGGATGATGGCTGTTTTCAGGCTGACCACACCCCCTTTAGGGTGGGGGGTCCCCACTGGGGTGCCTGGCCAGTCTGGGTGAGGGGCTGAGGGCCGTTTTCAGGCTGGCCAAGCCCCCCGGCGATGGAAGCTCCCAGCCTCTCTTTTTTAATTTTTTTTTTTATTCTGGGATTTATTTACCTTCTATAATTGAAACTTTGTTGCCTTGAGTGGAACTCAGAACTGGCCGCGACAGGTGGAAAGCTTGGCTTCCTCCATCACTGGGGCAACCAAGCCTCCAATTTTTCCCTATTTTTGTTGTTGTTGCTACTTTGCAACTCATCTTATATTCCCTTGTGACATATCACTGTTTAACACTTGTTTTCTTATTTTAATTTCCATGGTCTTATGTTTTATTTCCATCACTTGACTGGAAATTCTTTTTGTTTTTTAAACTTATCTTTATTGTTAAAAGTATTACAGTTGTCCCCTCCCCCCATAAACCCTCTCCAACCTGCTCCCACCCCCTTCTGAGGCCTTCACTGCACCATTGTCTGTCCATAGGTTATGCATATAAGTTCTTCGGTTAATCTTTTCCCACCATTCCTTTCCCTCTAAAATACATCAGTCTGTTGTGTGCTTCAATGTCTCTAGATCTATTTTGTTCATCAGTTTATTTTGTTCATTAGATTCCACATAAAAGCGAGATCATGTGATACTTATCTTTCTCTGACTGGCTTATTTGACTGGAAATTCTTGTGGGATGAGTATAATAGTCCATATTTGTTATATGTGCCCCCCTACTGCCACCATGAGGTGTAACATAGGACTACAATACTCAGGACTATGGTACTTGAGTGTTTGCTATTATCCTTGAATTATTTTTGAAGAGTATGTTTACTAAAACACTAGAGGCCTGGTGCATGAAATTCTCATCCTGGCCTGCATCCTCTCACAATCCAGGACCCCTCAGGGGGTGTCCAACTGCCGGAATCAGGCCTAAATTGGCAGTTGGACATCCCTCTCACAATCCTGGACCGCTGGCTCCTAACCGCTTGCCTATCTGCCTGCCTGATCGCCCCTAACCCCCCTGCCTGCCTACCTGATTGCCCCTAATCACTGGCCTGCTTGCCTGATTGCTCCTAACTGCCTGATCGCTTCTAACCACCTCTGCCTCGGCCCCTGCTGCCAGAGCTTCATACGGAAGGTCGTCCGGAAGGACGTCTGGAATGACTTCCAGAAGGTAGTTCAGCTGTCCAGTCTAATTAGCATATTATGCTTTTATTATTATAGATTATTATAGATAGGTTCTTTGAAAGCAGTGACTCAATTTTCTATTTCTGTATCTATCATTGCAACAGATCCTAAGTAAAGAAACCATAAATGACTAAAATATAAGTTGTTTATTATTAAATATGATATATGCAAACATGAAATAATCCTGTGTGGGTAATAACAAGGGTAAAATAGTTATTAGAACACATATTACTCTATACTAGTATAGTAAGCCATTATTTATAATGATAAATATCAGTGTAGCACTCACATGTATTACATCAATAAAATAATGTTTTAGTAGTACACTACATAATTACCTCAGGTAAAGGCAGGCAATGCTTTTATATTGATCCCATGAAAATAGGTACTAGGACTTTCTGTACTTCTTTTGTCATCCACAATTCTTTCTTTTTTTAAATTTTAATTTAATTTAATTATTTATTTATTTTTTATTTTTTTATTTATTAAGTTATTAAATATGTGTCCTTATCCCCACATTACCCCCCATCCCCCCCACTCATGCCCTCACCCCCTTGTTATCTGTGCCCATTGGTTAGGCCTATATGCTTGCATATAAGTCCTTTGGTTGATCTCTCCCCCTTACCCCCACCCTCCCCTGCCTTCCCTCTGAGGTTTGACGGTCTGATGGATGCTTCTCTGTCTCTGGATCTGTTTTTATTCATCAGTTTATGTTGTTCATTATATTACATAAATGAGTGAGATCATGTGGTATTTATCTTTCTCTGACTGGCTTATTTCACTTAGCATAATGCTCTCCAGTTCCATCCATGCTGTTGCAAATGGTAAGAACTCCTCCTTTTTACCGAAGCATAGTATTCCATTGTTTAGATGTACCACAGTTTTTTAATCCATTCATCTACTGATGGGCACTTAGGCTGTTTCCAAATCTTAGCTATGGTGAATTGTGCTGCTATGAACATAGGGGTGCATATATCCTTTCTAATTGGTGTTTTTAGTTTCTTGGGATATATTCCTAGAAGTGGGATCACTGGGTCAAATGGGAGTTCCATTTTTAGTTTTTTGAGGAAACTCCATACTGTTCTCCACAGTGGCTGCACCAGTCTGCATTCCCACCAGCAGTGCACACAATAGTAGTAGATTTTAGTCTGGAGGCAGGCCTTAAAATGCATACCTAGAAAAGTGCTTCTGATCAAGGAAAGGCTTTTGGATGGTATATCAGATATGAAGTAAAAACACCAATTTTGATGATCATCTATTCTATATTAAATAGAGTTATGCCTCAATATCCCTACCAGTGGGGAGGTAGGGGGAGAATGATGAAGTCTGAAATAGTTTGTTTTCCAAGAAATGATGTTTTACTACCTTGAATTACATATGTTGACTCAACCTGGTTAATAAACACTCCTAAATAATTTCATGAGTAATGTAGATAATAAAGAGCCAACTAACATTTATTCAGTGCTTAATCTGTGTGAGGCACTGTGTTAGGTATTATATATATATATATATATATATATATACACACACACACATATATACACATATATATGTATATATATAAATTATATTTATATATAAATTATATATATAAAATTTAATTCTCACAGCAACCTTGCAGTCTATAAACGATCCCCATGTTTGAAGGGAAGAAACTGAGGCACTATGAGACTGGGATTAGATCCCTGGTCTTCAGATTCCAGAATTCACTCTCTTAACCACCATAATGTTCTAACTGCATAGATACCTGAAGGTTTCTACTATATACTACTTTCATGTACAATAACCAACCTCTCTCAGGTTCATTCCAATGCATGTTTGAGTGTCTATTCTGTGCCAAGCACTCTATTCTTGGTGCTAGGGATAAGGCAGACAAAACAGACAAAAATCCTTACCCTCATGGAGTATATCCTATAGTGGAAGTTGCAGAAAGTAAGCATTTATTTAAGCCAACAGCCTGCTGAGCAAATCTATATTGATGGCTCACTACCATCTCAAACTCACCATTTCTAAAATCAATGCCATCATCTATCACCCTAAAGTTGATTCTCTTCTAAATCTGTAAATAATGCTTATTCTAAACTTTCCCCAGTCCCTAATCCTTACAGTCCTACCCTCCCTGCATGATCTTGCCTCTTTCTCCTCTTTCTTTACTGAGAAGATGGAAACCATCCGATATGAGCTTTATCACCTCAATGTCCTTCTTCTCTTTCTCAACATATTGCTGTATCTTCATCCATCCCTTATATCATTCCCATCTGATAGAAAATGTACTTTTTCCTAAGATTTAGTCTGTTTATTCCTTACATACCATATTTTGTCTTGTCTTAAAACTCAGCTCCATTTATTCTCTTTTACTTATTTTTCCTTTTTGATCTATTCCAATGGTTCTAAATGTTTGGTTCCCTGCACTAGTAGCATCAGACTCACCTGGGAATTTGTTAGAAATGCCATTTCTTAGGCACCACCCCAAATGTTTGGAATTTAAAATTCTGGGGGTGGGGCTTAGCTGGCCCTTTTGTGATTCGAATGCTTGCTGTAATTTCAAAACCATCTATTGATCTGTTCACTTAATTGTACTCAGGTGATTCTGTTTACTGATAAACAAAAATGAAACAAAAGCCATTCCTCCCACCTCTTTTGATCCTGATACCCTCTTAATCATACATCTCTCCCCATCATCACCAATCTTCTTGAAAAATATACCTTTACTATCTCTTGATTTTAAAACCACTTTGCCCTTATACACCTGTGATCAAACTTTCATTCCCTCCAATTTACTGAAATTGCTTCTTGAACTATATACTTGGTTACCAAATTCAAAGACCTTCCTTCAGACATCAACAGCTCATGTGACACTGGCCTTTTGCACTATATAGGCATACTTTGGAGATATCATGGGTTCAGTCCCAGACCACTATACTAAAGTAAGTATCACAATAAAGGGAGTCCTAATATTTTTGCTGGTAGAGGGTCTTGCCTTCAATTTGTAAAAAAATGCAACATCTGTGAAGTGCA